TTCAAATATTATTCAATTATTTGTCATATTGGTATTCGCTTGTTTACTTTCCATATTTTAATTCCTGCTGTTGGCAATCTCCTGATAAGTTATTTGTTGGGCGTGCCAGCCGAAACACATGTCAACATTAAACATTGTATGCACATGAATTTAGTAAAGTATCCACAGAATTAACTTTTAGATTGCTTTACTATAACTTCACCAATACGTAACATATCCGTTACAGTGAGAAGTTAAATTTTGAACTTAAAATCTACGTGTCAGCGAAGTTAGCGGCGCGCATTTGCACACTGGGGATTTAAATATTTTCTCAATTTCAAAAATCAGTGATTTAAATTCTTCATAGGTACTTTAATGATACTTGAAATTAATATAGTAAACTACAACAACTGATTTTCTCAATTTTGTTGTATAGGAATATAGAACCAACATTACAATTCATAATTATATCCAAATTATATTAACAAATCTAATTAAATACAAATATTATATTTATAAGTAATTACTAATAATATTAAATAATGTTATAACAGCTTATAATGTCATAAACGTCAATAAGTGTAATAGTGTAAATGTTTTTGTAATTAATAAGAAGCTTATTGTATTCTTTAATGGGTGTATTTTTAAATTATTTATGTAATACTAACTAGAAAACTAAGATGAATCAATTTTTTTTTTTTTGACACGCAGATATAAGGTACCAGTTTGTATATACCTGGGTCTACCAACTACGCGAATACTTTAGAGTTCAGAGCATAATAATTAATAGGTACTAAGTATAATGAAACAACTACAACTTTACTGTGTACGCGTACACGTTGACCACAATATAATGCAATACAGATTACAATAGTACCTACCTATGTAATATAAAGTAAATACTAAACTTACTTGTCTCGAATTTGGTGTATAGTTGAACGGTCGTTGCCTGTTGTACACTATTAGACTACACTACTACAGTTTACGATAATTAAATAAAATTTTCTTTTCTGTAAGGACGTGCGGATGTCGGACATTACTAAATTACAGATATTACCCATAAACTTATCAGTCTAGCGTACATTTATCAAACACCGAATCCATAACCGTTTGTCCGTGTTATATAAATACATACGTAAATATTGGCTAGTTAACAGTCTAGCCAGATTAAACCAAAAATATATCCTATTCTCGTAGACACCATAAGGACACCATTCAATAGGATTCTATTGTGGTGGTCCAGAATTGGTCGAACTCAGTACATGTCACTATTTAAACACTCATGACACCAAAAACACCAACTTGACACCACTGGTCCTGCACCGGGATAGGACACGGTCCCAACACCAATTTTCAATAAAATATTTCTACCCGGGTGGCGTATATGACGTGATATTATAATGTTCTAATTTTACTCCCTAATATTGCTGGATTGCATTATTATGTGTAAAGGGAAAAACTACTTGTTTTCACCTTTGATCTTATTTCCTGCTATGTAGGCTTTTAAGCATTTTGCATATTTTATGACTTTATGTCTCATTAGTCATTACCTCATTATAAATTATACTACGTGTGTAATTCTACATTTACTACAAATACATCAGTGGCGGCTCGTGCTAAGGTGCGATGGTGCGACCGCACTCCCTATGTACATTTTAAAATAAAATTATATTCGCAATTATTATACTTCTCTTAGTAATTAAATAGGAATCATGATGGTCTATATTTCTCACGAAATAATTTAAATGATCCCAAATTGTATTGTAAAATAATAATATTTGAAGAAAAATATCATCTTAACCCGGCAATTATTCCATTGCAATAAGAATTAAACGAAAGCCAAGCGACCAACGTCTGTAACAGTGTAATATGAGACTAGTGCTTTCTAGTGTATACTGTATAAATACTGCATGGTGCGGCGGCCCGAGGCGCACACAATATATGTGTGTTATACGGGCTTATCAAATTATGAATAT